AAAGTATCTCAACACAATAAAAGCCCTACATGACAAACCCATTGCCAACATGATCCTGAATCCTTAAGGACAGGAACAAGACAAGGGTGCCCACTCTCATCATTCCTATTTAACATAGTATTGGAAGTACCAGCCAGAGCAATCAGGCAAGAGAAAGAAATAAAGGGCATCCACATTGGAAAGGATGCTGTCAAACTGTCCCCAATTGCAGATAACATGATCCTATATATAGAAAAACTTAGACTCTACCAAAAAACTCTTAGAGTTGATAAACAATTTCAGTAATGTTGGATACAAAATCAACATGCAAAACTCAGTAGCATTTTTATACTCCAATAACTAACTAACAGGAAAAGATATCAAGAGATCAAGCCTGTTTACAATGGCTACCAAAAGAATAAAAGACCCAGGAATCAATTTAACCAAGGAGGTGAAAGATCTCTACAACAAGAACTCCAAAACACTACTCAAAGAAATTAAAGAGGATATAAAAAGATGCAAAGGCATTCCATGCTCTTGGATTTGAAGAATTAACATTGTGAAAATGTCCACAATACCCAAAGCTTTCTCCAGATTCAATGCAATCCCCATCAAAATACCAATGACATTCTTCACTGAAAGAGAAAAAACAATCCTAACATTCATATGGAACAAGAAAAGCAATCCTGAGCAAAAAAAATGTAAAGCCAGAGGCACTACACTTCATGACTTCAAAATATACTACAAAGCTATTGCAACCAGAACAGCATGGTAGTGGCATAAAAACAGACATTTGGACAAATGGAACAGAATAGAGAACCTGGAAATCAACCCAGTACTTACAGCCAACTGATCTTTGACAAAGGCAACAAGAACATACACTGGGGAAAAGCTACCTCTTCAATAAATAGTGCTGGGAAAATTGGACATCCATATATAAAAGAATCAAACTAGACCTGTACCTCTCACCATACATGAAAATCAACTCAAAATGGATTAAAGACTTAAGTATAAAACCCAAAACCACAAAACTACTAAAAGAAAACATAGGAGACTGCAACCAGGCCAGCAATGGAGCCAGCCAGCTGCTGTCTCCCTCCCATGTGTCCTGAGATGCAGGCCATGGTCCTTAGCTCTGCCCCCCAACCACAACCAGGCCAGCAACAGGGCCAGCCAGCCACCCCCAGGGCCCTGAGACGGGGGCCGCCAGCCCCGCACCACCCCCCGCAACAATATCTTGGAATGTACTTATTAGCCACATGTATTTCTTTGGGGTGTGTGACTTAAAATTGCTCATGTCCTTTACCAAATTCCTGCTTAGATTTTTCTAATTCATTTTTAAGAGTTTTTTTTTCATTAACATGTTAATCTTTGTGTGTTAAATTGTTCCTTATCAATCAACCTTAAAATTAGTTTATGATGGTTTCCTTTGTTTCTATGGTGAGAAAATAATTTTCTATCTAAACATTAAATAAATTTTAAAAAAACATAGGTGAAACACTTCAGGAAGCAGGACTGGCCAAATACTTTATGAATAAGACCCCGAAAGCACAAGCAACGACAGAAAAAATAAACAAGTGGGATTACATCAAACTAAAAAGCTTCTACACAGCAAAGGAAACAATCAACAGAGTAGAAAGAGCATCTATGGAATGGGAGAAAATATTTGCAAACTGTACATCTGACAAGGGATTAATATCCAGAATACATAAGGAACTCAAACAACTTAATGGTAAAAAAAGAAGTAACAATTTAAAAATGGGCAAAGGAGATGAATAGACATTTTTCAAAGGAAGACATACAAATGGCCAACAGGTACATGAAAAAATGCTCAACCTCACTAATCATCGGGGAAATGCAAACCAAAACCACACTACTGAGTTATCNAGGTACATGAAAAAATGCTCAACCTCACTAATCATCGGGGAAATGCAAACCAAAACCACACTGAGTTATTGTCTCACCCCAGTTAGACTGGCCATTATTAAAAAGACCAAGAATAACAAATGCTGGCAAGGATGTGGAGAAACGGGAACTCTTCTACACTGTTGGTGGGACTGTAACATAGTACAGCCATTATGGAAAACAGTATGGAGTTTCCTCAAACAACTACAGATAGAACTACCATATGATCCAGCAATCCCACTTCTAGATATACACCCAAAGGAATGGAAATCATCATGTCAAAGGGATACCTGCACTCCCATGTTCACTGCATCTCTATTTGAAATAACCAAAATATGGAAGCAACCTAAATGTCCACTGATGGATGACTGGACAAGGAAAATGTTGTATATATACGCAATGGAATACCACTAAGCCATAAAAAAGAATGAAATTCTGCCATTCGTAGCAACATGGATAAGCATGGAGAAAAAGATGTTAAGTGAAATAGACCAGATACAGGGCTGGCCCGGTGGTGCACTGGAGAGTGCGCCGCTTGGGAGCGTGGTGGCGCTCCCACCGAGGGTTCGGATCCCATGTGGAGACCGGTTCCCGCTCACTGGCTGAGTGCGGTGCGGGCGCAACACCGAGGGTTGCGATCCCGTTGCCGGTCCCCGGTACGGGCTCGACACCGAGGGTTGCGATCCTGTTACTGGTCAGTAAAAAAGACAAAAAGGAAAAATAAAAAAAAGAAATAGACCAGATACAGAAAGAGAAATGCCACATGGCCTCAATCATAAGTGGGTACTAAGAAAGAAGGAGAGAGAGAGAGAGAGAGAGAGAGAGAGAGGAAAAGAAAGGAAAGAAGGAAAGAAAGAAACAACAAATCACAATATGTTGAGCTTTCAGAAGGCAAGAACAAATCTACGGTTTCTAGAGGTGGGAAAGGGGAAGGCAAAGGGGGTTAAGGGAAAATTGGGTAAGGGGCACAAAGAATAACTACAATTTGTAATTATGAATATGCTAATAATATTGATTTGATCATCACATATTGTACACACATAATGGTACTCAACACTGTACCCCCAAAATATGTATAATCAATTATGCTTTAATTAAAAAATTTTTTTAAATAAATTTTTGTGATAAATATGCTAATTACCTTGATTTGATTTAAAAAATTGTGTTAACAGGATAGATCTCATGTTAAGTGTTTCTTACTACAATAAAAAAAAGAAAGACCCACACATATATGGACAACTGACCTACACAGGTGCAAAGCAATTTAATGAAGCAAGGATAATCTTTTCAACAAATGGTGCCAGAGTAACTGGATATCCACATGCAAAAAAAAAGTGAACTCCAATCTACACGTTCCACCATACACAAAATTTAATTTGAAANGAGATGTTGCTAAAGAAGACATATGGATGCCAAATAAGCACATAAACAGATGCAAATCATTAGTCTTTAGGGAAGGGCAAATTAAATCAACAATATATAACTATCAGAATGGCCAAAATTCAAAAGACACTGCATACCAAGTGTTGGTGAGGATATGTAACTACTGAAACATTGGCTGTGCGAATGTAAAATAACACAGTACAAACGCTTTGGAAAGCAGTTTAATAGCTTCTTCAAAAGTGAAACATATATCCACCATATGACTCAACAATTCTACTCTTAGGTATTTATCCAAGAGAAATAAAAATATATATCCATGCAAAGACTTATATAAGAATATTCTGAGCAGCTTTATTTTTTGTCATAGCTCAAAACTAGAAACAACCAAATGTCTACATGTATAGCCATACAATGGAATACTACTCGGCAATCAAAAGGAATGAACTATTGATTACACATAACAACATGAATAAAACTCAAAATAACTATACTGAGTGAAAGGAGCCTGACAAAAGAACACATATTATTTGATATCATTTATATAAAAATTTCAAAAATCCAAACAATTCTCTATGACAGAAAGCAAATCAATAATTGCCTGGGGATTGGTAGGGTGGGAAAGAGATTACAGAGGGACACGTGGAGACTTTTGGGAGCTGAGGATAGGGCCACTATCTGAATTGTAGTGATGATGCATACATATGTCAAAACTTAACAAACTGAACACATTAAAACAGGGCAGTCTACTGTATGTATGTCAATCATACTTCATTAAAACTATTTAAACAAATGTACACAAAACACCCAAAATTATTATACTTTTATCTGTCAGAATATTTTAATATAAACTACTAAAGGAGTGCTTTCAAAGAACTTCTAATGTCATGGGAAAATGTCTATCGTATTAAATAAAACTGTTGAAATATAAAACTGTATACAGCCCGACTACAAATGTACAGAAAGCTTGTGTAATACACACAGATAAATCTCTGGCTGGAAACAGATCTATATTAGTAAAAGCTTTCCCTGGGTTATGCATTCATGGGAGATTTACATTTTCTTCACACTTTATTTTCCAGGGTTTACTTTTTTGTTGTTTTCATCTAGTTTATTATTATTTTCATTTTACCAGAGCTTGCAATAGTCTTATAAGCAGGAAATTAAAAAATAAGTGGAGGGGGAAAGTTTGAGTGATTATCTGTCCTTCCAAGTGATTCCAACCTATGCACCACAGACCCTGAAAAGATCAAGGAGAGACTCTAGGAATTCATATGCGAACCAAGCATTTTCTTTAGACTTAATAATATACTTCACAATCATATGAACTATTTTTCAAATGTTCAGATGCACTGAAATTCAATCTAACTGAATCTGTAGAACTTCTACTTCTCACATCAACAGATACTAAAAGTAAAACTACTAATGTAGAGGTCTTCAAAAACTTCTCCCATACTTACTGGCTGTAGGCTGCTTTAATTGATTTTTTTTTTCTGCTACCACTACGTAGGAAGGGCTAAGCACAGTGCTTAGCATTCAATTAGGTAGGAAGGGCTAAGCACAGTGCTTAGCACTCAATTAAGTTCAATTAAGTTCCATCACATGCTCCTACTTCTCTGCTATGACTTTTCATTATATTCTAAACCACCCTCTTTCCAAGTGACTGTCAAACCTGTACTTTGTGCTTTCTCATACTGCTCATATCCCAGAAAAACTTCTCTGCTATGACTTTTCATTATATTCTAAACCACCCTGTTTCCAAGTGACTGTCAAACCTGTACTTTGTGCTTTCTCATACTGCTCATATCCCAGAAAAAATTTTAAAGTTACAAAGGTAAATTAAACAAATAAAAAAGTCAAATATGATCTGTACCCAGAACGGCTTTGTAAAAACTATTTCAGGTAAACACTAAGGCTTTTTGCAAATGTAAAGTTAAAATTACTAAGAAGTGTGATCCCTAGTTAAGTGTGGTATTATAGGTCTGTGATTGATCTTGGGGAAATCATTTTGTGTGTACTATGACTTTTACAACTGCTTCATAATAATCCTCTCAGAAATTAAAGTCAACAAACAACTTAATTTTCATTGTAAAATACACTACAAAAAGCAGAGCTATTGGCTATAGCAAACTATTTAGTTGTTTAAAGGTACGTTAGTTTACCTCAAAGAGTTATTCTCTGCTTTTTGCCTGCCAAGTTCACTTTCGGTATCCATTGCCTTTCTTGCTAGTGATTTCATTTCTTTTTCCACAGTGGTTATCGTTTCCTTCATCAAAGTCATATTTGACATTTGCTCCATACGTTCATCATCAAGCTATACAAGTAGAATGACAAGGTTACTGTCATCACTAAAAAACCCTTAGTAATCTTCCTGAAGAGACATACTCCTTCTGTACAAACTGTGGTTCATGGTATGATTCACATGATGAGATGAGGTTAGACCTGAGTGCTGTGGGAGGTTATCATGTAGTAGGGATAAGAACAACTCACTGCACAGCTTTCCTATCACAGTACCTCAGTCTACACAGCATTATCAGTCTACATTTTTCAATCTAGTTCGATTTGACTATAGCATATATATCCAATTTGCAAAAAGATTTCTTATTTGTTGCCCAATGTTATATAAATTACACATATGAGGATACTTCAAAACATTCATGGGAAAATAGAATTAAAAGATAATATGACTCTTTCTGTGAACTTTTTGAGGTACGGATTATGAAAATAAGAATTGTTTTTCTCCTGTGTAGTGCTTTTTTTTACTCATATAACAAAATACTACAGATGAACTTATAAATATATTCAATTCAATTTGGTGACAGAAACTCAAACTCCCTTAATTATGTTTATAGTTACAACTTCTCAAATATATATTCATAGCATCTCAAATCCCTGATTAGTAAAAAGGTGATCCTTCACATTTAAACTCAGTTTAAATATATTTTGCTCATTAATTTTTATTTCATTATAATTTTCTCTGCCCTATCCACTCTTTAGGTGGAAGGAGCCATTTTCTCAATATCTGGCAATATCATTTTTGACAAAATAGAGAGATGAGAAAGTTGCTAAAATCCCTGAGATTTTAATGCACCCTAATGGTCTTTCTTTAAAAAAAGAACACGCTTTGCAACCTAACACACAAAAAGTTTACTCACATTTCCAGAAGGAAATATGCAAATGAAAAAGCAACAATTTACAACAAACATACCACCTTGAGTATTTTCGGACTACAAATACTATCTTCGAGAAGTAAAATAACTTCTCTGAACACAGAAAAAAGGGAAAAGGGAAAGCCATTGAGAGTTTACAGCCAAAAGTGATTTTTTTTTCACATTATGAACTGTACACTCCAGCTATCTTAAAAAAAAATTATTTTAGAAAAATAAACTTCTCTGAACACAGAAAAAAGAGAAAGGGGAAAACCAGTGAGATTTTATGCTCAAAAGTGGTTTTTTTTTTTTTACGTTATGGACTGTACACTCCAGCTCCTCTATCCTTTGTTCCAAGTGAGCCTTCTCATTAAACGCTGTCTCTTGGGCAATCTGTTTAAAAAAACAAAAACAAAACAAAGTGCTTTCAATGTCACTGCATTTGTGTTTTGCATACGTTCATAGGGATAAAATTCTTTCAAACCTTTAGCCTTTCCCTCAGACTATCTCGTTCTGTGGTCATTCTTCGTAGGTCAGTGAAGGCTACATCTCTTTCAGTCTCCACCCGCCGAAGAATAGCATGCGCTGTTGTTGACTTAGGAGACTTACAGCTTTTCATCATTTCTCGTCGAAGTCGGGCAATTTCTTCCTGTGCCTATTATTTAAATATTTTGATAGAATTTTAACAAGAATGGACATAAATATGGCTCTTTTATCTAGCCAGTTAAAATGCAAGCCTACATTAATATGCATGTAGCAGGTTAATAAGTATAATTTTTACTGTGAAATAAGTTTATACAAATAAATGCAAATGAATATATAAACAGAAGTTCACTTAACAATATCTTTGCCAAAAATTTAAAATAAAGTTAATTTGGAGGAAGTCATTGCAACAGAGAATATTTTGCAAAGAACTGTACTTGGTATATACCATTTGTCATTTTGCAATATAAATTTGAATTTAGCACAATTCAGGCAGAATACTGGCTTAATGAATATTATCATAGTGTTTCAATCTTTCTCTATATAAATGTATTTGCCATCTTCATGTCCTGGCTACTTTTTCCCTGAAGGAAAGGGCCCACCAATTCTTACTGGTAATCCAACATACTCTCTGCACACTTATTCAACCATCCTTGGGTCCCTAATCAATTCCACACCTGCAGATGATTTCATATCCAACTTTGCTTCATAAGTCTCTTTATCTTATCTTCTTTCCTCTCGATTTCGGTCATTGTCTATTTGGCTAGTCTCCAAGTCTTACAGGAAGATATATTACTTCCCAATTTCTACAGCCACGCCACCATGAGAACCCAGATTTCATCTCCTAAAGATCTCCCTGACTCAGTTATTTCCTCAGTTATTTCCTTGAACAGAGCCCTCTCCACTGGCCCTTTCTCTCCCACCTTCAGTCATGTCCTGGGGTTCCCTTATCTTGAAAACTTGTCACTTAATCCTGCTGCTCCATTCACCATCCTATGCCTCTTCTCCCTTTGACACACTTTTTAAAAAAGTGCCATGGTCTGTACCAATTGCCAGTAGTTTCTTACCACTCACTCTCTCACCCTGGTATAACCTGGCTCCCACCCCCATGATACTCTGCACAATTTCAACTAATGACCTCACCAAATCAAATAGCCTTTTTCTCAGTTCCTGTTCTCCTTGACATTTCAGCAATATGTGATGTTTGTTTTCAACATTTTTCTTGAGATTCCTTCCGCCCCTGGGCTTATAACATTGTCCTTCCCTAGTTCTCTGTCTTATCTCTTTCAAAGGTTCTTCTCTGCCTCTTGAGTATAACATCTTGACTTCTCTGTTCTTCTCTGGACAGCTTTCTAATTTAGAGACCTCATCCACTCAGTAGGCTCAAAATTCATCCCTCAGCATTAGACTTCTAGAGCAATGCATTCAGCTCTTGCCTCTCTCTCCACTCCAGTCCCACATTTCTCACAGCCCGATAGCCTGAATGTACTATCATCATCTTACTAGATCTGTCTGAAATCAAACCCACATCTTTTCCCTCAAAGAACCAATAACTTTCCTATTTCTTCTTTTATTACCACAATTCTCTCAGTTATTCAAGACAGAATTTCAGTAATTTCCATTCATCTTTCCTCCTTCCTAAAATCAAATCTTGTCAAATTTCCCTTCACAGTGTCTTTTGTATCTGTCTCTATATTTATTTCCACTCATACACCCTCACTAAGTCCCTTAATGCCTTATTGCATGGACTACTGTAACAGCCTTCTTAGGAGTCCACAGTCTTTCTCTCCTCTCATTCTCTAGAAGGAGAAACTGTTATATAAGAAGATAATATAGAATGATTATGTAAGAGATACTTTAAAAATTGCCACATTTTTATAATTGTAAAAATGTGACTTTGGACATACTTCTGCCTTAAAAACAAACAAAAACAGATTGACCACTGCTTATAAAACAAAGTATAAACCTCATATAAGGCCGATTGAACATCCTCTACTAGTTAGCCCAGAAGTCAACAGACTATATATAGCTCACAGGCCAAATCCAGCCTGCCTCCTGATTTTGTAGGTCTGTAAGCTGAGAATATTTTTCACATTTTTAAATGGCTGGGGAAAAAAATCAAAAGCAGCAGCATATTTCATAACAGGTAAACATAATATAAAAATCAAATTTCAGTGTCCATCAATAGTTTTATTGTAATACAGCCAAACTTAGTCATTTATGTACTATTTATAGCTGCTTTCAACCCTATAACAACAATGCTGAACAGCTGCAACACAGACCACATGGCCTGTAAAGCCAAAGATGTTTATTATCTGGGCCTTTACAGAAAAAAATTGTACACGTCTCTAGTCCAATCTGCCTTTCAAGCCTTAGCTTCCCCTTACTCCACTGACACATACCCTCTACTGTAGTTTTACACAGATCTATTTCTCTACTATTTTCCTGCCTTTATCCTTTGCCTCATACCATTCCTTTAGTCTGGAATGTTCCTCCTTGCTCCTTTCAGGATAACAGAAAGCCCATTCATTCTTCAGGGCTCAAAGTCCACATCTTCTAGCAAAGATTTCCTTGACCACCATAATTAAAAATGCCCACTTCTTTTCTTACAATATCCTCTAGACCACTTATCCTATAGTAACAAAAAAATAAATACAAGACAGTATACTTTATCTCCTCGGCTAGACCGCAAATTTACAGAAAACTGTCTGCATCTTATTTTTTCCTATCCCTTAGAGTAGTAAACCTAGAACCCTGAATATAGAAACTATAATTCTTTAAAAATGTTGATACTTTAAAAGAAATGATATTGGTGATTTATGGGATTTGATATTTGTTGGATAAAGAAGCTATTTGATTAACAAAAGCTATATCATTTTAAGCTAGAAAGTAGAGATAAACTACAAACTGATGTTACTCTCTAAAATTAAGCAAATTGATATTTGTTGGATAAAGAAGCTATTTGATTAACAAAAGCTATATAATTTTAAGCTAGAAAGTAGAGATAAACTACAAACTGATGTTACTCTCTAAAATTAAGCAAATCATATGGCAGTTCTCAAAGTTATATATTAGTATTTTTAAACTCTTAAATCCGGATCTTTTTACCTTGAATTCATCACACCCTATCATTTAACACTCTCCCCATTTCTTATTCCAAAAATCAGTTTATTTTTATGCATATATATGCTCTTTTTGGGCACGGGGATGACATACATGAGGATACTTCAAAAAGTTAGATCAATCTGACTGGCAGGTTTAAGCACTCTCATAGAACTTAAAGAAAAATTATATAGCTCTAGAACTGAATGTTATTAGTTATATAACTTGTTTACTTATACATAAGTTTACCTGTTCATAAAGAAGGAAGGTCTTGTCTCTTTCAGATGTAAGAACCTTGACATTACCCTGAATTTCTGCCAAATGACGCTCGTATTTTTCCAGCATGCATTTAAGTTCTTCACGATCTCTTGTTGTTGTCTTCAAAAGCTCTACATCACAGTTTGCAACCTACAATTATTATACAAGACATCTGAGATTCTTCTTTGACATATCGTACTAAGAGAAATGTGCCATTGATGACAGCACACAATTTCTACTTAAGCAAACATGACTATATAATGAAAGGAAATGATGAAGAATGAGTTACAAAATTGCCTCTCTTTTAAACAGGTTCATCCCAAATTGCTCCACATCTGTCGGATTACCTCCCAACCACTACTCATACGGGGGAGAAAGAACCAATATTGGTGGTCTACTGTGCCATCAAACAGACCTTTGTCTCTCAGCCTCTTTGATACAGCAATTCATGTCAATCAAAATGAATTACTTCCAGATTAGGCAAATCAAAGAATAAAAGTCCGTGTTTGAGAAACAAACTCCAAAATATTTATAAGTTTCTAAAACCTACACGAGCACATGGAGACGGGCGTCTTGGACTTTTAGATCTACTTCTCATCATCTTTCTCAGATTTTGAGCTTCACTCTTGTAGTAATCTCTGTCTGCTTCTAGAGTCTTGACAAAGGAATCAAGTCTGGAAGGAGATTTATGTTGTGTTTTTTCAGTCTCTAAAATTATCTTGCCAAGAAGGAAAAAATTAGGTCATTATTTCAAGCTAAACTATAGTATTATTTTCTAAATGAAAATTGAAAATAAACAGGATCTTTAAAAAGATTAAATCTGGTATTTTAAAAATAGAACATTTGAAAAATTATTCATCAATAATTTAAAAAACCTGTTAGATATCTTTTTTCCCAGCATTTCTGGATTTGCTATATTTTTATTTAACTCAAAGCACCCCTAAATTTACTCAATAACTTTGGAGAAAAATGGCAAAGAAATTTTAGACAGGCCAGAAATGTCCACAGACCTAGTACAAGTCCTATAAATCGAATTTTTAAAAAAATTTATTTATTTTGCAGCTGGCCAGTACAGGGATCAAACCCTAGACCTTGCTGTTATCAACACCACACTCTAACCAACTGAGTTAAGTGGCCAGCCCTGAATTAATTTGCTTTGGAAAAACTTATATGCTACCATAAAAGCATCTGTTAAAGTACCTGAGTTTTGTTTAATAATTGCTTGATGAATGAATAAATTAAATGAATGCTGGATATTTCACACATGTATTCATTTCAAGTGCATTCCCATGAGTTCCCATTCACTTCAATATATTTAGAAACATTTCTCTTACAACAATTTTCTTACCAATACTCTATTTTTTATTTTTATTTTTGGCAGCTGGCTGGTACAGGTACTGAACTCTGGACCTTGATGTTATCAACACCACGCTCTAATCAACTGAGCTAACCGGCCAGCCCTATTTTACCAATACTTTATTAGAAGAAAATTACAGATATACTTTCAGACAAAGTAAATATTTTAAATGATAACATAAAAATGTTTAAACAGAGCAGTCCTCATTTTACATCATTAGATAAAACGTATTAATTGGAATTAAGTACCAAAATCTATGGCTTAAAAAATATTTATTACGAAGGAGAATAAAAGTTAATGTGTAGACAAATGCACCTTCTATTTTGAGAATTATTCAAAACCATCATTTTAAATCAGGTAACAGCTAATGGCATTAATAAAACTAACCAAAAGTTGTTCTCTCCCTCTAGGAAAGGTGAAGTGATGAAATGAAGCAAGAAAAGCATCACTCTTACAGAGTGCTGATTTCAGAAAACAAAAATGCTTCTTGCTCGCAAAAATCATAAGAGTCAAAACACATATATAATTTTTTGTGGCTTACTAACTGAATAAAAACGATTTCTTAACATATATTTATGAAAAATGTACTCACAGATTTAAGCCTTTTTATTGTATCTTCCAATACTGTTATATTATTTTGTTGGCAAATGAGTTCAATCTGAAAAACAAGCAAAAAAATTTCTATTATTTACATTAAAGATGCTTAAACTGATTTACTTGGAAAGAGAATATCAAAAATAGAAAGCCACTTAAAAACAAAAAACATAAAGACAGTGAATATTTTAAAGAAAAAAAATATAACCTACCCCTATGTTTTCCTACCTTTGATGGTAAGAGAACCTAAGACGAAATACAGTAGTTCCTTTAAATTATCCAATGTTTTGTATAAAATATTAACTGATGATATTTTATCAAATTACTCTCCATGAAATGGAACAAAATGTCAATACTAATTACAATTCTGAAGATGACAATAGAAAAGTAATAAAAGAATGACTGGAATAAAAGGTTTCCCAAATTACCCCATTCAGATTGCTTTCTCCTCTGAACTCTTTTAAGAGCTTAGTTCAACTCAGTTGATAACTTTTTGTATCAATTTTATGACACTGAAAATACTCAGTTTTATAGGATTTACATACAATATGACTACATAGTATGTTCCTAAAGAACAGTGACTAAGTTTTTATGCAAAGCAGTAAAGTTCTTTGCTAAAAGTTAGCATATTAGTTTAATAAATATATATTTCAATTCATCAACTGTTTCCCCTCATTATTCTTTTTTTTGGACCAGTAAGGGGATCGTAACCCTTGGCACAATGTTGTCTGCACCATGCTCAGCCAGTAAGCGCACCCAGTGAGCACACCGGCCATCCCTATATAGGATCCAAACCCGCAGCCTTGTCACTACCAGTGCTGCACTCTCCCGAGTGAGCTGCGGGGCCAACCCTGCCCTCATTATTCTAAACTAAAATGTGTTCTGATCTAGCCTGGTATATTTTAAATTTGAATTTTCTGGAATTATTGCTCTTCATTTGTTCTATTCTTTTTTTTTTTTTTTTTTTTTTTTTTTTTTTTTTTTTTTTTTTTTTTTTTTTTTTCATTTGTTCTTTAGAACAAAATTTTCTTCTAAGATTTCTCTGGAAGTCACACTTACATTTACGAAATATTACGGTGTGCTATTATTTGGAACATAACTTATGTATAGCTTAGATAAGTTTATGCATAGTTTTCAATAGGCTATTTTCAACATTTTAATTTATAATACTATGTAGACACTAAGAAGACATGGGTCTATTTTGAATAATGTGAAAAAACTCACACTGCAAAACAGAATAACTAGTATAACAGATTTTCATAAAAAATAAATTTATATACACACACACTAGATATAGATAAAACATAACCAATAATATGTAAACAGAAGGTTAATTATATCTAGGTATATATAGCAAGGTGTGATTATGGCAGATGTTACTTTCTTCATTATACTTTTCTTTATGGACTGCAACTTTTATAATTAACTTATATTACTTTTTTTTTTTTTTTGGTGGCTGGCCAGTTCAGGGATCTAAGCCCTTGACTTTTGTGTTATAACACCACCCCTAAACAACTGAGCTAAATATGTGTTACTTTTATAATGACTGAAAAATATAATGCTGATTCCACTCTGAAAAACTGTCCCAAATAAAAAATGCTAACCCAGTGTCTTCACTTATTTGATAATCGTTTAATGAATGCCTACTATGTGCCTGACATTCTGTTATGTGCTGGGTTAGGCAATGAATGAAATAGACAAAAATCTCTGCCCTCATGGAGTTCACATTCTAGACAAAGAGAAACACAAAGGTAATGGTCAAAATATGTACCAGATAGTGATTGCATCCCTCAAAAAATATACAATAAGCACTCATGTATCTAGTCTAGGCACTTGACATAAAAAAGTGAACAAAATAGACAAAGATCCCTTCTTTTGGGGACCTTACATTCCAGCTGGGATAGACAATAAAAAAATAAACCTAATAAAAAAATTATACAGTATACCAGAAAAAGAGCAGAGTTAAGGATATTGGGAGTGTTTATGGAGGAACAGGTTGGAATTTTAAATAGGGTGATCAGGGAGTCCTTCCTGAAAGGTGATCTTTGAGCAAAGACTTGAAGGGGGGAGAAGTCAACCATATCAAAATCTAGGAGAACATTCCAGCCAAAATGTTCAGCTACAGCAAAGGTCCTAAGGCAAAAGAACGTCTGGTAAGTTCCATGGTATAGTAAGGAGGCCAGTGTAACTGGAGCAGAGTGAAGTGGGGGAAAGGAGTAGGAAAGTGCTAAAGTGAAAAATAAAGCAGGTAACAGAGAGGGGGAGTTTGGGGTGGGGGGAGGTATTACAAACTTAAATAGGCTTTACACAATGTCCTCCACATGGTAGGTTCTGAAATATTTTTTGATGGATTAAATCACATACAAAGGTAACGATAATGACAAAAGCTATCAGGGATCCAATCTTATAATGGCCCCTATTTCTAAACATAGAAATTGTCTACAGAAACTAATAATGATAAAACTGCAATTCTGCTTCTTCACATTTCAAAAAAATCATGTTGAATGATCTGGGAAACACTATTAAGGGAGGAATGATAACTCAAAATGGGAGGATAAAAGGAGGCATCTAGTGGTGGTTTTAATGTATATCCACAAATTCTAATACTTCTTCCTTCAAAAGGTGGAACTTAATTTCCCTCCCTTTGAGTGTGGGTTGTTTTAGTGACTCACTGTTAAGGAGAATATGGTGAAAGTGATGGTAGACTTTTGAGACTGAGTCGTAATAGGCACTGCAGATCGCTCCTTGCTATTTCTCTTGGATCACTGACTTGGGTGGAGGGTAAGGGAGGGAGAGTGAGCTGTCATAAAAAATATATTAAGCAACCCTAGAGAGAGGTCCACCTGGCAAGGAACAAGCCCTTTTAGAAGCAAATCCTCCAGTACCAGTCAAGCCATGACTGAAGCCTGGCCATCACACCTTGATTACAATTTCCTGACGAACCATGAACAGAACCACCTAGCTAAGCCACTCTTGAGTTCCCGACCCAAAGAACCTGTGAGATATAAATGCTTGTTGTTTGAAGCCTTTGAGGTTTAGGAGTAATTTGTTACACAGCTATAGACAATATAATAGTAAAAATTCAAAACATCTTAATGTTTATTAAAATCAATAAATGATGGAAGTTACCCTGTTGATCTTTAAAAATATGACTAAGCGTAAACTCTTCTCAGTAAATAAATTTAATACTATATATCTCAATTCCAGACAAACTAATAGTAGCTTTAGCCTCTGACTCTAATATCTCCATGTAGTTAGAGCATAATCTCAAACACTATACAAACCCAAACATGCTTTCTCAGCAATCAAATTAGAAATTCTTGTCTATCTACTCTCTCAAGTAGTTCTAAAAAACTCTTCCAGACAACATCATTGAGAAGATTATGTCCTTTCATTAAAGTAATAACTTCAGGTTTTTAAATATTCCATTATTTGACTTATCACTAATTTAGACTTACTTATCCTTTATAGTCAAACAAGTGATGTTACTTTATAAAACACATACAATCCTAAAGTTCATCAACTGGGCTCTTATATTTCAAATTACTGTGACAAACAACGTCTTCACTGAAATGTTCTCAGCCTGACCATTTATTGAAATTTAAGTGCTTTATTATATGCTATAGAACTCTTGTGCATTAAAAGGATGTTTAAGAAATAACATGTAATAACAATTATCTTTGGGATATTATCTTATTACAGATACAACTTACTAATTTAGTTATTAATAAAATCAAGACAAATAAGCGTATTCACAGAATATCATTTAAAAATTCAATAAGTTGTTTTTTTGGCCTCAGCTCTGTATCTTGCTTATATGTTATTTCAAGCAGCAATGAGAAATAAAACTCATTTTATAACTGTGTTTAAATCCCCAGTTTCTAAATTTCATGGTAGAGTACTAAAACTCAAGAAAGAAATAAAATGTTTATCAAAACATCATATGGGCCGGCCCGGTGGCGCACTGCAATAGTGCACCGCTTGGGAAGCGCGGTGGCGCTCCCGCCGAGGGTTCGGATCCCACATACAGACCGGTTCCTGCTCACTGGCTGAGCGAGGCACGGGAGCAGCGCCGAGGGTTGCGATTCTGTTGCCGGTTCCGGTCCGGTACGGGGGCAACACTGAGGGTTGCGATCCGATGCCGGACACGGAAAAAGACAAAAAAAAAAAAAATCATAAAGCTACAATAACTAAAATAATGTGATAGTGGCACAGAAAAAACCAAACAGTCCAGAAACATACAAGAATTTAGTATCTGTTAGAACGGTATTTCAAATCAGTGAAGAAATAAAGGATTAGTCAACCCTACCTCATAATAGAACAAAAAGAAATTCCAGAAGTATTTAAAATTAAAAGAAAACCATTAAAGACTATTAAAAGAAATCTTTAGGGCCAGCCTGTGGCTCACTCGGGAGAGTGCGGTGCTGATAACACCAAGGCCCCGGGTTCTAGAACAAAAAGAAATTCCAGAAGTATTTAAAATTAAAAGAAAACCATTAAAGACTATTAAAAGAAATCTTTAGGGCCGGCCTGTGGCTCACTCGGGAGAGTGCGGTGCTGATAACACCAAGGCCCCGGGTTTGGATCCCATATAGGGATGGCCGGTTAGCTCATCAGGTGAGCATGGTGCTGACAACACCAAGTCAAGGGTTAAGATCCCCTTACTGGTCATCTTTTAAAAAAAAAAAAAAAAAAAAA